CCCTACTCCAGTCCGGTAATCCCATATCCACAGCGTTGTCATCGCGCACGCGGACCATCGATTACGACATTGCATGCTCCGTCCGCGCCGCTCGACCGACTCTGTCATGGCGTCCAATGCAAGAAGCAAAAGCCATGGCCGAACGGAGCGACCACGTCGAGGCGGTGACTGACTTACGCCGCAACGTGTTCCACGGCATCCATGTTGCTATGCCGGCCTGGTTCAATTATAAACACCGTTGGATGCGCTGTAAGTCGTGCTGCATGTGTGAAACGCATGTCGCGGTCACATCACCAAGGATGCAGGTCGATCATGTATAAATAGGTGTTTAGGTTCGTTCCTAGCTAGCTCGTCGACATGCGCAGCAACCCACGCTGGAATGCACGTTCGACGAGGCGGCGCTGCCGATTCCGCAGCGACAATCGTGTCTTGTCTAGGTACTGTGTGTTGGCATGAGCGACGCGCATGACGAGCCGGCGCTGGCGCAGCTGGTGTTGCAACCGCTTGAGGAGCGCAAGCTCTTGCTCTCGTTCAGTCATCAGGCGAGCGATTTCATCGACGTTGTCACTGCTCTCGACCGAGTCGTCAGCGATATCGCGCAGCCGCGCGATCGAGTCGTCTACGTCGTTGCGACACTCTAACAGTTTCTTGGCGGCTTCGACCATCGCGACGTGGCACTCGGCGCGCTTCTTCAGCAGAATGGCGTCGTACACCAATGTCGCGGCAAGCTCCATCGTCATGCAGGGGCCAAAAATGTGCGGGAACGTCGAAGCCTTCCGACCGGGAACGTTCAATTATGGGGTCGCGCAAGTGGCGACGCACTCGTGCAATCCTGCGACACATCGACGGAAAACTTTCAACTTGCAAACGGTATGCAAGCGGGGAGATAGCTATTTTGACCATCAAAGGTTGTTTCGTCCCGTGCACGGTTCCGGTTTTTGTATGAGTGAACATTTAATTCGACCAAGTCAGTCGATAGTAATATCAATGGCTATTCTGACTGACAATTTGACGGCCGCGGTGAACCACCATCGTGCCCACGATCACCGGCCACACAACACTCAATCGAGGCGAGTTGTGCCGTGGCCGCCCTTCGCCTGGCTTACGACGGTAGTCAGTTGTGCCAACGAGACGGCTGGACGACGCACACACATGAGGGGGATGGGCCCATACACGTGCACACGCCTGCCAAGCTGGATGAATCGAGCAATGCGGGCTGCAACGTCGGGTTGGACTGGCCCGAGTATAAAAGAGCACCACCGGGGGTGCGCACGGCACTCTTGGACTGCTTTGATTGATGCCAGAAGCAGTTCATTGAATAGCCCTGCCGGCCCCGGTGCCGACAACGACGGCGTTTCGGCGATGTGCACTGGCGACCTAGCATGTCGCGGAAACATGCGGCAACGTGCAGGCCACGAACACGGCACCCCACAAAACCACGTGCTACCGATAAAAATTCACCGGGAAGCAGATGGATCGTGTAGGGGTCCGTTGTATGGCAAACGTGCGGCACAAAGGGCACGCTATTCGATGCTGTTCGTGCCACGACGCAGCGCGAGCTTCGTGGAGGTGCCTGGTGCTCGTCGCGGTCGTCTGCCCTGGGATCAAGCTTCAGTGAATTCGGTCCTGGCATCGCACAAGGCAACATTTCCCGGCGAGGGTATTGCGCTCGGATCGAGTCCCCAACGCAATGGATGGAGGGCAATGGATGCATCCCCGTCGAATTCACGCCTTCCTTGGACCGATTCCATCTCGTTTTTTTGCTCGTGCACCCCCAGCGCACGTCGGTGCAACAGGACACATTAGATATTGCGTTTCCTCGTACGAACAGCAGACACTACGACGACGACATGGCCGTGGGAGGTGCTGGCGGCTGCTATACAATCAGGTTGACGTCGTCGGGTTGACGCGGCGGTGCCTCGTTCGGGTCGATGGATTTCCGACAAGTGGGGCACGTCGCGTTAACAACGAGCCATTCGTCGACGCACGCTTGGTGGAAGTGATGCTTGCAGTGCAGAACGCGCACGGTTTGGTCCCGGACGTATTCGTTCAAGCAAATGCAGCAGCTCGCGTCCTATCCATCGAATGGGTCAAACATGAACACCAACGGCGCTGTTACACGCGGCCATCAAACAACGCACCTCGTCGGGAAACATGGATGGCACGTACGGCGCACTCGGTAGCTTGGCAATGATCTAGAGCGCTTGTGAGAAAGGGAAGGGTCGGGAACGAAACGAACCTCGGCGGCGGCCCCCTTGCCACGCATGGGATCTTGCATGCGATTCAAGAGACGAATGAGGCACGGCAGGCAAAAGCACACGATCGGGAGCAGCGCAACCAGGATTAAGCACGGCAGGAAAATCTTGATGTAGCAGATCGTGATCATGGCAAACGCCATGTTGTAGAGATGCCCACCCGCTTTGGTCGAGCTGTGCTCTTCGTCGCTGATGATCCACATGTTGCCGACAAGGAACCAAAACAACCCTAGGAGCTCCAGCGAGTATTTGATCGAGTTCAACGCGCTTTTTACGCCAGGGGACGCGAGCCACGACGTGACGGCGCTATTGCGGACAGATCCGTCCATCGATTTGTACACGATCCACTCGACAATGACTGTGAAAAACTGGTGCAGGGTTTGCACAAGCGTCCAGTACTTCACACGACTGCACGACGCGAGTTCAGGGTCGTTCCAGAACATGGCCATGATCACAGTTGCCGCGATAACCTGGGGGATAGAGATCAAGGCGGACACGGCCAGCAGTAGTCCCGTGGTTCCAGCATTTCGTGCACCTTGCACACTTGTGTTGAGCACATTGATGCGAACGTCGCGGGCCTCTTCGTGCGAGGGCAAGGCATTCAGCAGCCGCGATCTGTCCCCCGATATCGCTTCAGGTCTCGACCTGGACGACGCCGGGCTTGCCGACGACGCGCCCGCCGGAGCACGGGGGCTCATGCCTCCATCTTGAGCAGCCATCATGCTGGCCGAGAGAAGCTGTTCCACGACAGACTGTTCTATCATGTCCGGATACGCTATGCGGAAAATCATTTTTTTACACCTGCCGAATGTGTGTAATAAATTACTGTACTTGCCCCATTCACTTCAAATTTGTATCGCGCGTCCGCAATAGAATACTCACAACGCGGAATAATATCGTTGTCTTCTTCACACTTCCTCCGGTTAATTCGCCCACCTTCCGGATGATATCCCACCATGAAGGCTGGACAGACGCTGTGGTCATTTCACACATGCTGCGATCGCTCCTTCGTGATGGCGGCAACGTCCCTGCTGCTGCTGCTGCTGCTGCAGTGGCCGCGTACTGCGCGTCCTCCCGTGCCACATCAACAGCACGGAGTGAATCGCCCACTGGGTTTGCGCGCCAACCACCACGAGCCATTATTTCCGACCCAGGTACTGTTCACGCCAGCCTCGGCCGCACGTTCGAGGTGGCGTGTACTTACAATTTCAACTTGCAGATGTGTTTGCAGCCAAGTTAAGTCGCATGGCTGCCGATGGTCCGTCGCAGCTGCTCATGATAGCTGATTTTGACTACACGTTGACGCCGTACTACACCCCCAAGGGCGAGCACGCCCATTCGTGCCACGGCATCATCAGTGGCAGCGGGTTCCTCGGGCCGGAATTTCAAGCCAAGGCGAATGCTCTGTTTCAGCAGTTTTACCCCATTGAGATCTCTCCCCTCTTGACGCACGACGAAAAGGAGCCACACATGATCGAATGGTTCGTAATCCATCCTTTCCTTCTCGTTGTCCATTTTAAAACTCACTTTGCCCAGGTGGGAGCGGTCCCACAAGATCATGGTCGAGTATGGGTTGCACGCCCACCACATTCAAGATGCAGTGGCCGACGCCGACATTACGTTTCGCGCCGGCTTTCGGCCGCTGTTTGCATCCCTCGCAACAGCCAACGTGCCGACGCTCATCTTTTCTGCTGGTCTTGCGGGTACGACCACGCGGCGGCGGTTCCTCATGGCCATCGCAGACGCCCCAACAGCACTTGACCTGGCCAACGAGAGAGAATGAGCTGATGTGTTTGGGTAGATGTGATCCAAGCCGTGATGAACAAGACGTGGGGCGATGCTTTTTGGACGCCCAATGTGCACGTGATATCGAACGTGATGGAATTCGAACCGACCACGGGGCGCTTGGTCGGGTTCCAAGAAAAGGTGCATTGGCCTCGTCTCTCCAATTTGTTCACTTGGCGCGGCGTTGTAGCTGATTCATTGCCACAACAAAAACACAGCCGTCGTGCGGGATACGCCGTTCTGGGACGAGTGCCACTCGCGGCGCAACGTGGTGCTGCTCGGCGATTCGGTAAGCCGTCGCATGGGATAGTCTTCGTGGCGATGACGCGATGGCCAGATTGGAGATGTCAACATGACCGAAGGTCTCGATGGCAAAGAAGTGCTTCGCATTGGGTTCCTCAACACTCATATTGAAGAGCGCATGGCCGAGTACTTGTCGCTGTACGACGTCGTGATTGTGAACGACGGGACGCTGCACTTTGCCCACGTCGTCGTCGATCTCATCACGCGTCCTCCATCCCCGCCACGATCAGTCGCCGAAGTCCCGTTGGCAGGACTTTAACTCGCGCGAGTTGAATCGCCGATTAAGTTGACAACGTCGAGCTCGGCCGACCCATACACTTGTCGTAGCATGGCCAACGTGCGGGCGAGAATCGAATGCACTTGGTCTGGTGGCGTGTAATGGTCTGTCTGCGACGTAGCAATCGTAATCAGGCGTGGGCGCTCTACGGAATCGCGCTCATGAGTCGTGAGGGCTGACGTTGTGAAGCACGCGTACCGCGCGAAGACGCCAAGTATGCGCGCATCGAGTCCAGCATGGGTTGGATGTCGTGGTTCACATGATGTGGTAAATCCACGCACGGCGCGGCCCACTTGACCTGCGAGCGACACCTGACGCATCGGGATCGACAACGAACGTACGAGTTCGATCTGGTCGGCGTTGTAACGATGCAACATGCAATAGAACTGCTCAAAGTAGTGGGGCATGGCGCTCGGATCGTTGTACAGACGCCAGAGATGTGCCATCTAACGCGAGATCAGCCAGAAAACAAACAAACGCGCATCGATTGTACACTGGCGACAAAGTTGGTCTGATCCACGTGGCGCCACCGCTGCGATTCCATCATACCGGTCATCGTGCTGCACGAAACGTTGACTCGATCGTGGTGGCGGTCGCGGGAATACCTCGTGTGATGACGATGGTGCTCGAGTTGCTGAGCGTGACTGAGCGTGGGTGGGATGTTCTACAGCAACTCTTCCACTGGAATCGAGGCATGGGGTGCTGCATCGCTGTACCTTGAATTGGAGGCCACCGTATATGTGGCGCAGCACTTGCGCATCGTCGACACCGCACGCTTTCTCAAACTCTTCAAAATGTCAGGAGAACCCGGCAAACGACGCACCGCGCACCGTGAAGAAATGGATTCAACGTCGTGAAGTAATCCAAACAAATGTCCAACACAAATGGCCCAAGAGGAGGGCGGACGCTGCTCGCGGGACTGTCGTGCAGCTCGCACACGGTCAACTGCAAGGTCCTACAATGAATCGGCAATCCCTCCTTCTTTCACCACATCGTTGCAGGACGCACTGCTTCTTGGTGAGCTCTGACTCGGGGGCGTACATGGCTTCGTCCACAAAGTAGCTGTGGTTACTTGTCACGCACAGCGTCCCTAGGATAGCAAATGTCAAGCCATGCAAGCATCGTTTTGAGACTACCAACCGTTGTCTATGTGCTCACCGACAGCAAAGGCTTGGTCGCCCAAGGTCATCTACGAAATGGAAGGGGTGATTGTATCGACGAGAACGAGGTCGCTGCCGACTTGCTGTGCCCAGGGAGGTTTGACCCATATGAGCGATTCCATGTGACCAGCAAACGAGAGCGGAAGGACGAAAGATGCGATTCCTGCTTCACTCGCGTCCAGGACGTCGTACAGCTGCGATGGGGTGAACACGGACTTGGCTGGGACGTCGCGGGGAAACGCCAAGTCTGGATGGGCATCGAAGTGCACGAGGGTCCAATTCGCGAACGGCAACACCCGCCTTCGGATGGCCTGTGACTTGCTGAATGACGAGATGCCCTCTCAAACGCGCGCACGTTTGTACCTACCTGGTGGATCGGCTCCAGAGCATGGTGGTGATCGTCCACGACGACAACCCGCATTCGATTCATCATGAGTTGCAGCCAAGTTCGCAATTTTTCGTCCATTTCACACCGAAGTGCTCGAAATATTAACAAAAATTTGTGCAACATTTTCCATTTTTGTGCTACTCTTCACAAAATTCAACAAGGCAATCATACATGTATTCACGAACGTATCTAGACTTTGTCGTCATCGTGCACGACATGGTAGACATCCCCGTCCGGTCGCCCTTCGCTTGGGGCTTCCGTCGTGGATGGTGCGGGCGCGGCGTCGTGGGGCGATCGCAGGAGACAACACAAACACAGCCATAACGACCCGACGGCGATGCCAGCCACTATCAACCATGGGAGCAGCACGTAGAACGACGAAAACGACCCTTCCAAGCGCGCTGCCAGCACCACAAACGGGCTGAACATGATACACGACGTGACAACCATGCAGACCACACCGCTAGTTTTGCCGTTGGGGGTGCTGTCCGCTGTTAGTCTGGACGCGACCACAACGCTCCGCACCTGCCCATTGTAGGTCAGAATCACCTAAGTTGTGCTAGATGTACCGTGGAGCACAGAGACAACGCCATGTATATCCACACGGGAAGAAAGACAAGCCACCAGCTTCCATCGATGGTGCCATCGACTTTGAGCCCCACCAACACGACCAACACGAATCGAAGTATGTTTTGGACAATGCTGTACATGATCGAGCCATACAGCTACGGAGAACAACGTGATCAGCGCAGACAGTCCACGAGCATGGAGTACCGCAAACGAGTTGGGCGAGTCGTTGTTGGTCGTGCCATGCTGGGCAGCGAGGGATGTGTACACTTGATACCCGACAATGACCTTCTCAGTGAGAAGGATGCCTTCCAGCACCAGATACGGAGCCAGGACAGCAATGCCCGACACGTCCAACGTCGCTTGCAGCTTCATCGCGATTAAAATTTGCGATGCCACGAAGAGAAGTGCTTTGAGCAAGCGGAGACTGCACAAGCATGGTGAGTTCGTGCAAGTCCTTGGAAGGGACCTGTTGCACCAAACGTACCTCTTGGTCAAGAGGCGGGAGAACGTGGACGGAGGCTGTGCGATGGGATCGCCGTTCTCATCCACTGGTGCATCCTTCGACACCAACGAACAGCACGATGCGCAAATGTAAATGGCGTCGAGCACCCACATCGGGATGAATACGTCGACCCATGACCAGTCCACGGTCTTGTCGACGCGAAGACACCACAACACTATCATCGTCACGTTAACGAGGAAGCGTCAACCGGAGATATGATCACACATGCATGTACCGGGCACGAGTAGGATTACCGCACACGCGGCAGTGATCGACATCAAGATACAAAACTTGGCCCCACCACCCAACGACGACAGCGCGCCGATCGCAGAGGCCATCATTTCTTCCATGCTCATTTCACCAAACCCGTTCACCATTTTCAGGCCGTCCTCGCCTGTTGCGTCGTAAATCTCTCGCTGTCGCGGGTCACTGAGCACGTCGTATGCATGTTTCATCGTCGTAAACTCTTCCTGGGCCTCGGGTGAGTTCCCGCGCTTGTCTGGATGCAGCTGCAGCGCGCGTCGGCGGTACGCTTTCTTGAGTTCCTCCGGCGTCACCGTCGGTTCTACGCCCATCACATCGTAGAATTTGGTGTGTTGGACCATGACTCCTCGGACTGGCGGCACGGTAATTTCGTTGCCCACACGAGGTTTCGCTTCACGCGGAAGATCACATTAATTTACAAAAATTAATGCAGTATATAACAAGTAAGTGAGACACGCACATTTATATAATACATCCAGACCATGTTCGTTGGGCCCTCTGCTCACATCACCGGTAACATTGATGGAGCCTCATTAAAAGATGGAATACATCCTAACGACGTGACATACATCATGTTCAACTGCATACCTACGCGTCCAGTTCCTTCCTACGTTAGCTGCACAGACCTGCTGCGTTGTGGCAGCGCTGACTCCCTATAACATGTACTCTGTAATTCTATACTCATTCAATACGTAAATTGATGTCGTCCACGGAAAGTCGTCTTGTCCCGTCTCCAAGATTCGCGTTGATTTCGTGCAATTTCCATCAAAACCCGACGATTTCGGCGAATTTATGAGTTCTGATTCGTTCATCCATACAACTGCAGTGTTCAAGCAGGCCTCACTCTCTGCGCAAATGCATCTCCCAGGGATATGTATTGCCCGCTCGACACGCGGCAGAGTCGTTTATGCCTTGACCATCTTGGTAAGTATTTCAGCAGTCAGTGACCTGTCAAAACGAATATATGCATTCATACAAGTTATATAGTATGGCGGTGCAGCTTTGCGAGATGTAGTTAAATAGTGTATGTCTGCGTCATGCCATTTATAGTGTGAATGCAACGATGGCGTTTGCCAGACTTGCTGCACGCCGCCAGTTCTCGACGTCCGCGCGCGGATACCAAGCGATCGGCTCGTTCCATACACCAAGCATCGATGACATTTTCTTAGAAGAGTTTCCTCGGGAAATGCCGTTCCGCATTCCTCTGACTTCGCCGATCGCGCGGTTTGGTCATGACGTCAAGGCGGCCTTCTTCCTTGACCCCACATGGATATTTCTCAATCACGGTGCTTTTGGATCGACTCTTCGACTTGCGATGCACACAGCCCAACAGTGGCGTGAATATGCCGAGGAGCAGCCCCTCAAGTTCATTGACCGCGAGCTCTTCTTCCACCTTGTCGACGCCATCAAAGCTTTGGCGACGCATATTCGCGCGACATCTCCAAAAGATGTCGTGCTGCTTCCAAACGCAACGGCGGGACTCAACACGGTGAAGTGCAGCCATGCCCCCGAAAGGCTGCCTTCTCACAGTTGCAATATGACAGGTCATCGAAGGCATGGCAGGTCGCATGGACCGCGGTGACGCGATCTTCACCTTTGACGTGGCGTATGGCGCAGTGAAGAAGCTGCTCCATCAAGTATGCTCAGAGCACGACTTGGTATTGCACACACAGGCGCTTCATCTCGGCATTGCACACGACGACGATGCTATTCTCGACCTCGTTGCGCGGTCCTTGCCGCCGACGTGCAAGTATGACAAGATCTTCTCCTGGAGACGAAGATTCCACGTCCCATGTTAGATTAGTCGTGCTAGACCACATCACGTCCAACACCGCGACCGTTCTGCCCGTCCAGCGCATTGTCGAGCTGTGCCATGCCCGCAGTATTCCCGTCTTGGTCGACGGCGCTCATGGTCTGCTAAACTTGGATTTGGACGTGGCAACTATCGGCGCAGATTTTTACGTGGGCAACTGCCACAAGTGGCTGTGTTCAACGAAAGGCGCAGCGTTCCTGCATGTGCAGCCGGAGTACCAACATCTCATGCGGCCACGGATCCAGTCGCATGGACTTGATGGCAGCTTCCAAGCACGGTTCCTGTGGACAGGCTTGCAGGACTACAGCGCAATGCTAACGCTGCCGACGGTCTTGTCGTACTGGAGCCAGGCCCGTGGCGCACGGGAGTACATGCATCGCACCGTTGACGAAGCCGATCGAGAATTGCGCCGTGTGTGGCATCTGCCCGAGGTACCACTTCCTCGAACGATTGAACTCACTCGTCTGTGTCCAGTTGAACCTACCTGCACACAAACAATGCGCAATGCGTCTTGTCCCGTTGCCGTCGAACGTGTTCGGCCTCGTCGCATCATTGGCCAAGACATCGACGGACGCAAAGTACGTACAAGATCGACTCCATCACGAGTTCCATGTGGAAGTGCCCGTCAAATGCATCGATGGGCGGCTTTACCTCCGTCTCTCTGCCCACATATACAATTGCGCCGAGGACTATGCGTACCTCGGCCACATCATCCATCCGTGAGTAGGGAGCGCGATGGCGAAGCCACGTGAAACTGCCAAATGAAAATGATTTTCGAATCCATGGCGTTTTTTTAGGCGTTTTTTATTCTCATTTGAAAAATACACATCTGTACATAACCAGATCAAATTTGTTGCTTTGTATAAAAATATAGCAGACATGTGTTTCATTTTCTTTTTGTCGTATAAAACAATTTTTGCAAGTTGCGGCGTTTCGAAATCTTTCCTCGTAAACGACGCCCACCACGATGCTGCGCCTGGGCGTAGTGCTTTGTGCCGCTGGGGGTGCTCTTGCCGAGATGCTATCCTTTGCGCCGACGATACAAAACGTTTCTCCGCGTGAATGTTCCCTGTCCTCCATTGCTGCGACGATAGCATGGCCTGCAGTCGTGTACGTGTGTATCCATGCAGTCGCATGCCTTGGGCTGATGGATTTGACTGCGTAGACCAACCGACGACGTCCTTGATGCCTATGAGCTGTCCTACCGGGTGGTACAGAATACCACGTGGATATCGTGGTCGAACTCACTGACGGGTCGAATCGGCGCCGTGCCTTCGCTCGAAGTGCAAACGGTTGTCAGCCGCGGCCTGTCAGGGCCGATCACGGGCGGGTACTTTCGCCTAACAAGCTCGTATCTCAGCATCGCCGACGTGGACACTCGAACTGGTGCCGCTACTCTCTTCAACATACATACAATCGTCATTCCCATGTAGGCCTTGCAGTGTCGCCCTTGATAGCATTCGATGCCTCGGCCGCCGACGTCCGAGCTGCACTCGAAGCGATCCACGACATTATGCATGTTCAAGTGACGCGAGAAGGACCGGATCTTCTCGGTGGGTATGCGTGGCGCATCGAGTTTCATGAGGAGCACGCGCGCCCGATGCTTGGCATCCACACGAATCTCCTGGACAACGGGAGTGTCTCGATCAGTCAAGTTGACCTGCCCACGTCCATGTGCACCACTGACTGCATCGCAACGGTGACGGGCTTGTCGGCTAACACAAACTATGTCTTTCGAGTGCGCGCGCATGCTGCAACGGTAGTGTGCCACGTCATGATCTCAGTGACACGACATTCATTCGCAGGCCGGGTGGGGGCCATGGAGTCCTGTCACGAAACCGTGGACCACGTGCACACTGGGTACGAGGGATGCATGTCGGCTGATGGCAAGAGTTGCTCGTTCGCTCACGTTCCGTGATGGGCTAGCTCTACCTGGGATGCCAACTCAAGTCATTGCTACCAGTGTCAGTCCGGTGGGTATTTCAGTGACGTGGGCGGCTCCAAGCGATGCGACCACGTCGTTGCCGATTCGATCGTACTCGTTTGGGCATCGCTGCAACGACGACATCTTTTGGCGCACGCAAATCATCCCCTCGAACACTCCATTCGCCGCGGTCACCACCGCCCGTCCCAACGCAAATTGCCAGTATGGTCAACATCATCGACCGCGCGAGTCGCGTGATGTGTCCCAGACGGTCCTGACCATTCGTTGCATCGGTGTAGAGTTCGCGTGCTGGCCACGAATGACGTCGGCAGTGGACAGTACAGCGACGTCGTGTCCGTGCGAACGTTGCCAGGCCCACCCCTGCCACCATTAAGCGCGGTGCTCTCGTCCATAAGCGAGTCGATGCTGCGCATTTCCATCACTCCCACAATGTAAGCGACGATGCCTCGACCGCCACAATCTTGTCTGTACTCGACACATATGCTGCATGATTCACCGCGTCCCGCTCTGGACCGACACTGCTAAGAATGCTAACGTTTCGTTTGGAAGGGACGACGGGGGAGCTCAACCTGTAGCGTACATCGCAGAGATCAAAACAGCGGACGGCACCGACTGGATTCCGTTGCCCACGCTTTCCCCGGTCGTTGGCAGTGCTGCTGTCCTCACCTTGGACTGGCAAGCGCCTGCCCCATACACTCGATACGTGGCTCGTGTGTCGTCGAAGAATTCGTTGGGGGCTAGCGACTGGGTCGTGTCCAACTTTATTCGAACGGACCGACCGCGAGTGGTCGCTGCACGCAAAGCTGCAGATCCGCGGGCCATCGAAATGCTTGTGGTGCCGGCGTTGACGGCAGGAGAGGCGGCGAATCGACAGGACAAGTATTACATGGCAGGGACGGCCAACGGTGGGCGACTCGGCGGCGACGGACAGGTGCAAATTTATGTCACACCAGCCTTTTGCAAGTTGACCATTGTGGCGATCCATCTAGCCTGGAGCGGTGTACGTGCGGGTGTTTGCGATGGACGGCGCGCTGCTGAAGCAAGACGCAGTCTACTTTACGGGATCTGTGCAGGTTGCCTAGTACAGCTCGTGACTGTCGTTGGGCCTGACACCAATGTGTAGAATTACACGATTCCAGACACTCCCAAGTACGTCCGGGCTGTCGCTGACGTGTATGCGTGGGGCGGCGGCGGCGGTGGCGGGAGCATCAATGCACACGATGGGGGATTTGGGGGCGGCGGGGGCTTCGCCCGAGCTGCGTTCTCGATCACCCGTGGATCGGTGTTTCAAGTTACTGTGGGCGGAGGCGGTGGCGGGGCGACCTCGCGCAGTGGTGGCTCGGGTGGGTTTGGTGGGGGTGGTCGCGGTGGACGGGGCCATTTCGTCGGTGGAGGCGGAGGTGGAGCAACGTTGATTCACATTGAAAAGCCTCGTGGACAATGGACGCTTGTGCTGGTGGCTGCAGGAGGCGGTGGCGGGGGAGCAAGTTCCGTGTGCTGTGCCGCCGGAGGCGCAGCTGGCGGCGTGAACGGCACGGCAGGCATGGAGCCGACCGCCGCCCAGATGGGACTCCCATTATCACTCGCCAACCGAGACGAGTTTCACTCCAAGTTTGAATTTGGCGACACGCGCGATTTCACGGGCTCAGCGGCTCGGGATAATGTACGTCCGGACAAAACTCCAACCTGAACAAATGGGCATGTGTAGAATGTTGAATTTGGATATGCACCGGGCGCGGATTTTGCGACCCTGGCGGGTGGAGGTGGCGGTGGTCGATGTGCGTCTGGGGGAGAAGCTGGTCGCCAGAGCTCATACGAATCTGCCATCCAGCAAGGTAAGTCCAGTTGCATGAATATGTGAGCTCATCACCTGCTATAGTTGCAACATTTGGTCAACCGTTCGTTGGAGGTATTGGCGGCGACGGGAAAAAAGGTGGCGGCGGGGGTGGTGGCGGCTTCTTTGGTGGCGGGGGAGGTGGAGGAGGTCTCGAAGGCGCCGGAGGTGGCGGTGGAAGTGGGTACATCTCGGCGTCGGAGGTTCGTGGGAAGAATGGATCCTGGATTGCTGTGTCGACATTGGGTATACGCTGTAGGTCGAGCCACTCCCCGATCCAGTCCAAGCGCCAGTTCCCCAACAAGTTACGATCACGTCGGGTGTGACGACGTTGTCGATTCAATGGCGACCTCCAGAGAATGGTCCCTTCACCCACCGACACCAAAATGTGGGGTACATCGTCGAAGTGGCGAGCGGCTACGCCAACGAAGACTTTGTCCCCGTGCGCTTTTCGTCGACCTACGTCATGACAGATCGGAAACTTGTCTAGGTGGACGGAACAACCAACACACAATTTGTCTTGTCTGGGCTAACTCCCGCGACATCGTACGCCATTCGGATCAAGCTCCTTGTGCCTGGCGATTTGGGGGGGTACAGCTCCCGCGTCGTAGCGCAGACTTTGCCCCGGCCGACCAACTCGTGGCAGCACATTCGACCAACGCTGTTGATGCAAAGCAATGTCGGAGGTGGATTTCGACATGCCGATGGGGCGTTCGGGTCGCCGTCCCCGCGACGCGGACATACCATGGTCGTGCTGGGGGAGTACACCTACTTGTTTGGCGGGTGAGCACAGCCACACGCCTGCATCCATCGCTGGATGAGCCAACTTCACCTCGCATGGGTTGTTTTGGACTGTAGATTTGGACCCGGGTATCGATGCCAACGAGGCACGAGCGACGTGTGCATGGCTTCGCCGTTGGAAAACAACGAGCTCTGGCGGTACCATTCCACGACGCAAACTTGGTACGTTTCGATTTCAGCAACGTCGCCCTCGATCGATGGCAGGTTTGGCTGCAGCACTCCGTATTGTTGTCGCCTGACTGCGTCATGCAAATGCTGCGTCGAGAGCTCAACGAGACAGCTGTAGGCTCCACGTACAAGATGTGGTTGGCGGCGTGCGCCCACCTCCCCGTGAAAAGCACTCGGCGTCCGCGTTGGGCGATGGCAAAATGCTCGTGTTTGGAGGGCGTCAACTCGCGGGGCCGAGAGCTTTCAACGACGTGTGGCAGCTGGACGTTGGGACGACCACGACGCTGGCATCGACGCAGACGACGCCCAACGTGGCGCTTGTAGATGGACAAGACACATGGACAGCCGCCATGGCGAGCATTGATCCGACGAGAATGTGCATCCGGTCCATGCAAGTGGTCCTGAACATCACGCACGCGTGCCTGAACACGCTCGAAGTGTTTCTATACGGACCTGGCCCAACGACGTTGCCGTCGCTGCAGCAGGATTACATGACCGGGTCAGACGTGGTGGGCGACGTCATGTGGACGATTGACGGCGGCAACCAACCCAACGGACCCATCCGCGCGTCGTCAGCGGTCCCGACAACACGGTAACGTCGCGTATTGAATCGCACGGACGACTAGGTAGGGTGTCATGACGTGCGCGGATTAGAGGCCATCGCGTGCAGCTGTATGGTGCTGCAAATGCCTCGATGGCGTGTCGATCAGGTCCGCAAACGCTCGTTTTCAACTCCACGACGTCGTTGGAGCCAATGGATGCGTTTTCCCATTTGCCAGCGGCGGGGACGTGGACGTTGCAGGTTCGCCGACTGCGCTGCATCCTCTATCGCGCACGGCCAACTTATGGTGGGAACTAGATTCACGACCGCGAAAAAGACTCGCTCGCGGGAACCCTCACGTCGTGGGGAATCGAATGGATCATGGTAGGCAATTCGTCATGTTTGAATGTGCTGGTACGCAAGATGTGGCTGGTGCAGGAGCCATGCACCCCGTCGTACGAGTGGACCAACGTCGGTGGGTCCATTCACGGCACCCCGCCGTCGCCGCGCTACCAACACACGAGCATTGCAGTCGGACCCACGACTCTGTTTGTGTTTGGCGGCAAAGACACCGTCGAATACCCTGACGATCTCTACCGACTCGACTTTTACTCTTCAACGAGCTCCCGTACGTTCGACGTCACACAAACGCTCACCAAATGTGCATGCTCGGTCGTTGGCCTCATCATTTTGTGGACGGTAGGGAATGCGTGGCAGGTATTGCAGCCCGTGGGACTGTCGAGCTTCCATCGACGCTACGGCCAACTCTTTTTTGTCACGCCATTTCAAGCCCTTGTCCCGACGGCAGGTCTCCGCGAAGAGCTCGACACGCCTCCGATCGAGGACCAGCTACAGGCGTTGGACATGATGCAATATGCGTTGACAGAGCCAACGTCCGCGATGCAACCCCTTCAAGCCATGAATACCACAACTAGCGCTCCTAGTCAACGGTACTTTACAAGTGGAGGTTGGTGGACGCTGCCAACTTCGCCATCGTCGAAAGTTGTGTTGTTTGGCGGGTATGGCCACCCTCGAAGGGATGTGAAAGTCACAGCTACCACCGTCACATTTGTGTAGCCAAGACCAGACCGGGTTCTTGGACGATTTGTGGGAACTTTCACTGGCAGAGTCGCCGCCACCAAGTGTGTCCCCCGACTACATTTGTCCGTGGATGATGCGCACGCGGGCTGCCGAATGGTCCATCTCATGCGGGGCGACGAGCTTGCCAAGTCAGCCGTGCAGCGTATCATCGATTCTTCAAGCAGCGTGGTGCCAAGGCTCGTATCAAACCATCCAAAACTTGTTCTGACCTGTACTCGTTGGATATTTATGTGTTGCTAGCTATGGAGGTCGATGGCATTTGTCGAGATCGCAGTTGAATGACCGATGTTGACCATGGTTTGAATCGGCCATTTTCTACGTGGGAGGACCTGGAGCCAGTCCCTCGTCGCTGTTGTTTCGCCAATGCAGAATGGTCCAAGCATACTCGTGCCTGGGCTGCATGAGCTGCGGGGGCAAGCAGAGTCTGTTGGAACAAAGCCGATTTTGCGGCAGCAAGGAAAGGAGCAGTGCCCGTCCACGTAGTCGTCGAGATTGCAGCACGACATGGGTGTTTGTATTGATATATTGATTACGATCGTGCTAGAAGGGGCTCCTTGACGGCAGTTCTTTTCATGCGGTGAGCAATCTCGTCAGAACGTCAACGCCGCGTGCGATGCTTGAGTTGTAAAACATAGCTTCTCTCGACTGGAGCGCGTCGGTGCAAGGCGAGACTAACTTTTGGTTGGCGTCCGCTCCAACTCCCCCCGAGAATGTTCCGCGCTGGATCGGATCGTCGCCCATTGTCGCCACGGTCCATGCGCACTCAATGTAGTGCAGCAGTCGGGTACACAAATCTCGGTTGAACAGGTTCTGGCAAATCTCCCGTTGCATCCGGTCCGTGATCGTCATCACGCGAAACTCGGACCGCTGGCGGATGCCGTACGCGGGCGACAAAAAGCCGATAGACTCGCGCAGTACGCGTCTCGCCGGCGGTGGTGCCGTGATGGTCGGCTCTCTCACGACCACGCACTTGTACATGCTGGCCGTCAAGTTGGACATGAGCGAGTTGAAGTCATACGTGTAGCTGTGGACGCCCCCGATGTTTGAAGCACTCACATACTGCCAGTACGCGGCGGGAAGGGACTGGAACAGCGACCCGAGCACAGGATGCCCTGTTGCGTCGACAAATATACCGAGCTGGGTCGACGAGAGCGGGAGGCGAATCGTGATGGTCGAGTTGAGGGTCGGGGCGGCATACGGAGGATTCGAAATCGTCGACGGGACAAATGGCCACGCGGACGACGTGTTGCGCTTGGCGGCGTCAGTGGGGAATTCCCCGACGTAGCAGTTGATGTACACTTGAAGCACCATGTCAAACGTGGCACTAGAATGCACACACAGCATGAGCGCCAACGATTCGACTGGAGCGACGTACTGCAGGGGCATAAACAAGATGTCGGCGGTCGTGCGGTTGTTGGCCATCATGGCCCCAAGCGCGAGATGCATGTTGTCTGCGGCATACCACACTCAGTGAGGCCACGAGCAACGAGTTCTAGTCGAACGTACTGTGCATGCCCGACTTGATGACTGACGTAAACTGTTGAAAGCTCGATGCTGAGTTGAGCGCGGACGCGAGCGAGAAATACCCGAACCCGGACGGAAACGACCGACGCCAGGACGACCGAATGAGGTACCCAGCGCACGTCGCGTTGTTGTCGGACTCGCAAAACGCATTGAGTGGCGGGGTCGAGACTTTGATGCCCCGCGTGTCATTGCGATCGATGGTCAAGTTGGAAATCGTGCCCGTGTACCCCCCAAAGTCGGTCAAGATGATCGAGCAGTCCAACAGCGTGCAGTTGGTCGTTTGAACTTGGGCAAAGTCGGCAAAAGCGTCCCAGTATGGCAACGTGACGGACGCGAACCGTGGGGCCAGCCCACGGAGCATGGTTTCGTACGCCAGGAGGACTTTGCGGTTCCAGTACGCCCATCCACTCGTCAAGTAGTACTCAAAGTACGTCTGAGGCTCTTCAACGAGTTGGGAAAAGTAGTAATGGTACCCCAGCGCCATGGAGAGCTGAACGGCCTCCAGATACAATGCCTTTTCGTCCGATGTGAGTTTCAGCCAAGATTTCCTGACTCGGGGAGAAAGGGTTGGTTCGGGAGTGGGGGCAGTCGTGGGGGCAGGGGCTGGTGCAGATGTTGGAACAGGCGTGGGAGCTGGAGTTGGTGCTGATGTTGGCGCTGGGGTTGGAGCAGGCGTGGGAGCTGGTGTTGGTTCGGGAGTTGCGGGTGCGGGTACAGATGTGGGCACTGGTGTTGTTTCAGAAATTGGATCTGGAGTCGTTGGTGGTGTGAGAGCAGGGGTTTGTTCAGGGGTTGGAGTAGTTGTGGGCTCTAAGGTTGGTTCAAGTGTAGTGTCGGTGATGACTTGTGGCGTGACCATCGAGGTTGGGGTCAACTCGGGGGCTGTTTGAGCTTGTGCAAGCGCCCACAGGCCCGCGAGGATGTAAAGACTTCGCTTCGGAAGTGGGGCCATCTCTGTGAAAAGGAGAATGTAGAACCGAAAGCGCCTGGTGATGGCACGGGGAGGTAGTTATGCTCATGGTTTTTCTCGTCATGGCGCTGCAATGCACCGCGAACTGCCACACTGGTGGTTTGGCGTCGCAACGACGAGATCTCGTCGAATGTTCTGTACGTCACGCCCGATCTCGCAACATTAGATTGCTACGCCCTCATGTGTGCACTGTGAATGGACGCGGCCATCTCTCCACCGTGACAGGCCACACACGGCAACCATGGCACTGTTGGACTGATGCATCTCGCTCCTCCGCAAAACTAGAGTGAACCGCTCCACATCGACGTACTGCAGTGTGACCCAGGACCCCAAGCGCCAGGGTGAAAGTGCATTCTGCACAACGTCCTCAATCTTCAGCAGCAGATGCACGTCCAAGGAAAAGTTCTCGCCACCAAACCCCCTCATTCCCTTGGATGTGCCTGGAACGGGCGGAAGGATGTGGCGGGTCAACTTGTGCTGGACGTAATTCCATACAAGTTGAAACGGTACTTGATGGCCATTCCCGAGGTCGGCGAACGTCATCTCTGTTTGGGAAACGACGATCGCACCACAGGACCATCACGGACCTCTGCTTTCTGCAGGATATGTGCAGTTGCAACATCGCACAAAGTACAGCACTTGCTTTTGAGTTGACTGTGAAATGCAGGAGAAACAGCACGAAGAAATCGATGGTTGTACGCTAATGCGTGGAAAATTGTGCAGGACGTCGGCGATCGGCAAGTGCTGCTGTCCGCATTCATACAACATCGATGGCCGCCCCCAATGGCACGGTTGGGGGTAAAATCGTAGACGAAGCGGTCCAACAACAGCGCCAAACCTGTCATTGCCACGTGCTCAAAATATGGCGGAGCTCGTGACCATGGTGGAGCGTGTGACGATAGAATCACGCCGTCGGCAGGACATTTGTCTTCCTTTTTGGAGGCAAAACCCGGCGGAGACGCGGACTTCGATCCTGGTTCTTCCCGTAAAGATGACGCCATCATGAATTGCACCATCGGCACCACAGTCCATGTTGCGCTGAAGTACATTTACTGACCCAATGAGATCGCGTGGGGGATTCCTTGCCGAGGAAGTACGTATGCGATAGAAAGAACTGTCATGAGGCTGCAGGGTCATGATGGCACTTGGCGCGTCGACGCAGACACGATAAACCGGCTTGGATTTACAGGTAGCACATTCTTTTTTAGCTTTTGTAGAGAAACGTGACGAGAGAGTGTGAGTTTGGCAAGGTATATGGATGGATCTAGTACTCGCGACATGCTGTGACGGTATCTCGTGTGTCGTCGCCACGCACAATTAAGCGTCGCGTGTGGGCGGGACATTGATGCCAAGGGTGCAAGCAATGAATGGCCATGCGCTGAGCACGGCCCAGCACGCGCGTCGGTTGGTTTCGAGGAAGCCTTGGCGCAGTTTGACTTGCTTGACGACGGAGGAACCTTGGTCGGCCAAACTCATGGTGAGTTGGTTGTACACGACGAGAATCAAGAACTGGTTGACAAGGCACAGCCGGTACATTTCCCACACGTCGTCCGGTGTCAAATTCGGCACGGCCTCCGTCACGATGCGAGCGTACTCGTTGACAGCGGCCGTTTCGACGTCGCGCCGCACCGACGCGGCCACTCCAACGATGAAAAAGAACGCGACATCACGCAAGGGGTTGCTGGCACCAGCCGTGGCCCAGTCCAAGAGCCAAATGTCATCGGATTTGCAGTCTAGACACAGATTATCTTCATGCCCATTCAACGTCATGGCAATCGCACCAAAGAGCATGTTGGCCACGTGAAAGTCGCCGTGCAATAAAGTCTTGTGTGGCCATGATTCGACGGCGGTGTGGATCCTAGACAAGGTGGTTTGTCCAAGCGACAGGCAGGTGCAAATTGGCTCCATGGCGTTTGCGAGTTCTGGGTCGTCGAGCTGAGCGAGAAACGGGCCAAACAGCGACGGGAATTGGGTCTGTTTGGCTTCACCGGTCAGACTGGCGCCAATGCCGGGCACGGCAGCCAATTGAGGAAAGGACTGACCTACGGTGTCGGTGGTTCTGTTTAAGACAAAGACATAGCACATGAATGTCACGTACCCCAGTGCGCGGCGTGCATTGCTCCGAGCTTGCGAAGGATGGGAACCACAAGGATGGCTGGACACCCATCGAGGCAACTGAACCGTTCAATGTTGTCCACCTTGTCGAGCACGACGATGTCCGTTGACGCGTGCAGAAATGGCGGTAGCAGGAACGGAATCGCGTCGTGCTTGGTGGCCGTGTAGAATGCCTTTTCAACTTCGAACATGCTGTGGACGAATGGAAATTCTGGCCGAGGACACTTGACCACCAAGTGACGCGGCGGCTCGGGAGAGTCAAACTCCACGGTGACATGGAACACCCGCGATAGAACACCCACGTCCATGTCGTTCACGCGCACCGCGACTGGCGACGGATGCAGGAACAGCTTGCCGACTATGCGCTGCACTTCGTCTTCCATCGTGTTCGCCGTCGACAACCTGACAAGCACTTCACGAAATACGGATAAACGTTCGGATGACGTGGCACGACTGCAGCATCCGAGGTCACACACTAGACGAGCGCTGACAAACGACATGCTCAAGTCAGTGAAATGTATCGGTGTTACAACAAGCTGTTGGGTCCTATGGTGGTGGACGGGCACTGCGGGATCAATGCTGTGGAGGCCACAGGGCATTGGATTTGCGTGGTAAAGTCAGCGTTCGTGTTGGAGTTGGCGTTGGTGCTGTAGAATCCGACTTGGACAGTCGACGGGCCAGACGACCCTAGCGGACAATACGAGCTGACACCGCCGCATTTGTTTTGAGTAGAAGAGCTTGATCCGACGCCACACCAAAAGCCAGGGCGGCAAGAGGCGCACAACTGGCCGTTAGTCGAATACGATCCTACGTAGTTTCCGTTCATCGTGCTGCGAAAGACTTTTCAGGACAGACGTGTACCTGCAAGACACGGCTGCTGTTGGCTGGAAGTTGATCCCAGCGGACATATCGAGCCGAGGGCACAGCGCCCGGAACACAAGGGCGAGCTGAGGCCCGTTGTCGAACCGAATCTGACAATGCATCATGGGGGAATCCTGGGCATGGATGAATGCTTACGTTCCAAGCGGGCACAGATGGGCTACACCCTTCACGCAGTAGGATCCCGTGGGGCAAATTTGCTGCCCGATGCGAAGGCGTCCATCAGAACTGACAAGGGTGAAGTAACCTGCACTGACCCCGACGGGGGCCGACGACCCCGACGGGCAATACGTTGACGGGTCAAGGCATGGAAAGTGGCTGTAGTCCGTTGAACCTAGAGGGCTAGAGGCGAAACTTCAAGTCAACTCCGATAGTGCTCACGTCGCACCAGTAGTAACCAGTCGGGCACAAGCCAGAGCATGCGGTCGTCGTGAGACCTTCAGTCGAGCCAAACGTGCCCGCTGGACATTTCGTTTTGAGCCCCTGTGTGCACCACATGCCCCGTTCACAGATTTGCTGGTTCACACGAGTTGTCGTCCCGGTCAGAGCCAAACTTTGACCTGAATGTTGAGTTGAGATCACGTTTGGGGGACGATCCATACCAGCCACA